CTACGACTATACGAGTACTACGACTACTTTGACTAGTACGACTAGTACGACTAGTACGACTACTACGACTACTACGACTATACGAGGACTACTACGACTACTACGACTACTACAACTGTATACTACGACTACTACGACTACTACGACAACTACGACTACTACAACTACTACGACTACTACGACTACTACGACTACCCTTAGCCTCGAAAATTAGTAAGTTTACTCGGGCAAGAATTTACGTAAATTAGCAAATTTACTCTTTGACCCATACCTAAAAAAATTACGTTTTTTTTTTAAAACATTTACTAGTAAATGTAAATTTTTAGGTTATACCTAAATTTTATTTAGGTAAAACCTAATTTTTTTGACCTTTCTTTTCCGTTTTTTTCACTAATGTATTTTTTAACATGTTCACAATGGAAATGTGGTAAATTTTCAATGAAACACACAGCTGAATCATGTGCAACTTACTTGTGTCATGCACTCTCGAGATATTTTTTCATGTGTTTGTGCTCTGCAATATACATGAGTTGTATACATGTGACTGTTCACCTCTGTGTTTCATTCACTTGTGCAGTTGCAATTTACTTGTGTGCTGCATACTTGTGTCACTGCTTGTGCTCTGCAATTTACATGAGTTAGTTGTGCACATGTGACTGTTCACCTCTGTGTTTCATTTACTTGTGCAGTTGCAATTTACTTGTGTGCTGCATACTTGTGTCACTGCTTGTGCTCTGCAATTTACATGAGTTAGTTGTATGCATGTGACTGTTCACCTATGTGTTTCATATACTTGCAGAGTTGCAATTTACTTATGTGCTGCATACTTGTGAGTTACTTAAGAATTGTTTTTAATTGTGTTTGCAGTGTCTTCATTGTTTATTGCAGGCTAGGATCATGATCTATGTTAGTCATCTCAAGTAAGCACATGTAAGTTGACAAACTAGGATGAGATGGTTGAAACTTTGCACTATTGGTTCATTTCCAGAGGTGAGCTTCCAAATTAGTTTTACTGTTGGAATATCTCTGGTCAACAAAGTCATGAATAACTCTTGAACCATTGTTTGGCCAAATGTCTAGCAAATTTATTTGGTTAGTTCCAGGCAGTCTTGACAAATGTCATGGGACACATATGAAATTATTTCCTGAAAAGCATTATTTGCAGCCTTTACCAAGTTTTGAAAAGGATCTGAAACTTTAGCACTAATGGCTCTCAGGTTTATTTCATCAAAGTATCTTTGGTTCAGTTAGTTGTCTGCCTAAAAGGTCTTGCATGTCTATATATACTTTTTCTTTCAAACTTGGCATCCTTGAAAGTCAATAATTTTCTTGAAGCAGCAGTTCAAAATCTCAAGCTTTCAGCTTTCCAGGCATGTCAAAATCATTCAAAGTCTGTAGATTTTTGATATGCAGTTTATATGCAGATTATATGCAGTTTCCAAAACTACATGTAGTTTGGTCAAAACTGCATATAAACTACATGTAGGTTTGAAACTGCATATAAACTGCATATAAACTTCATATAGAATTTGTATGAAAATTCAATGGCTGAAATGTGGTTTTTAAGGATTTTGATTATACATTTGGACTTGGTTCCAGTGATTCCCAAACCTTTGGACAACAATATGGACATATAAAATTCATAGTGTGATGCAGTCAAAACTGGCAATGCCAGCAAGTTGTTTTCTTTCCCAAAACTTTGAGAAACAATTGGTTTTGCAAAGGCCCAGTGCACTTGTTTACAAACATGTTTTGGAGAATCATAGAAGGTTATTTCTGTTCACAAGTAAGCATCTGTACAGTTCCAAGATCATCACATGTAAATCTCAAGTAAAGAGGTTTCAAGGAACCATAAAAGATTCTTTCTGCTCACAAGTAAACATCTGTACAGGCCCAGGATCATCCCCTACACATGTAAATCTCAAGTAAAGATGTTCTAAGGTACCACAAAAATCCAAGAACATCACATGTAAATCTCAAGTAAAGATGTTTTAGACAGGACAATACAAGTTTCTTTTTGTGTTCACAATTAAACATCTGTACAGGTCCAAGAACATCACATGTAAATCTCAAGTAAAGAGGTTTTAAACAAAACAACAAATTTATTTTTGTGTTCGCACATAAGCATTTGTACAGATCCAAGAACATCACATGTAAGTCTCAAGTAAGAATCTTTGGAGTAAACTGTCAGTGAACATATAGAGATTCAAGTGCCAGCTACTATTGGAAAAATGTATGTGGAAAATCCAAAACTGTTTCAAGTATCCTCAGGTTTTTGCCTGCAAGAAAGAAGCATGTTTCAAATGTTATGGATGCTTGATCCCAAAATGGTAAGAAGACAATGATATGATCTTTACATGAACCTGTGCCTGGCATATAGTACTCAGGCTTTGTTTGGGGGGTCACTTGATGGATCCTTACTTGAGGAAACTTCTATGTGCTAATCTTTACTTGCAAGTGGATTCAAACAATATGGGATATATTTGTGTTTACTTGTCTTTCACCTGTGTGTTTCATATACTTGTGCCAATTTCATGCTTCATCATTTTAGTATTTAGTTTACTTGTGAAAATGTTCAGTGATTTTCAAGTCAATGAAAAACTATGAGAAAAATAGAGTTCATTCTCCAGTATTATTTTCTTTGGTAAGCAAACAAAAATACAAAGTTTTCTGGTAGTTTGAAATGAAAATATCCAAGCAAATATACCAAAACACATGAAAACAATGCTTATCGTTAAAACTTAGGTTAGGAGTAAAATTTTCACCCCCCCCTCAATTTACGTAAATATTTACGTAAATTTTATGTACGTAAATTTTTACGTAAATCAAGCCAAAATGTATTTTTACTAATTTTCGAGACTAAGGGTACTACGACTACTACGACTACTACGCCTACTACGACTACGGCTACGACCGCCGCCACAACAACACTACAGTACACTACAATACACTACACTAATTACACCACACCACAACTACAACTGCAACTGCATCTACACTACACTAACTACACTACATGACACTACTTTACAACTACAACTTACAACTACAACTTACAGCTACAACTCCACTACACTACAACTACAACTACACCTACAACTACAACTACTGCGCTACACCAGTACTACAATTATTACAATTGCTACAATTAAGACAATTACAACTTCAACTACACTTCAACTACAGTGCAGCTACGACTACAACTGCAACCGCAACTACAACATTACAACAACAACTTCAACAACTTCAACAACATCAACACCACTACAGCTACAACTACAACTACGACGACAACTACAGCTACAACTACAACTACAACTGCAACTACTGCGCTACACCACACTACATCCAGGAGTTGTGAGTGAGGTGACCGCTGCAACCATTGCAACCACTCCAAAAAGCACAACTCCAACCACCTTTCGGTCCATCAGTGGATTCGCTCTGCCATCCGTGAGTCACAACAACCAACCCTTTCTATAGGTTTCCTATTTCTGAAGCTTCCGCCAGTGCCTTGTGCGGTACTGCTGGTATTCCACAGCTTGACAATATTCTACCCAATACCACTTGTGGTACAAGACTTGCACAAGGCACTTCCCAGTATTATTAAGAATTACAAAGCGCACTCCAACCACTCCAATCCATTCCAATCTACCCCATTCCACTCCATTCCTCTCCACCCGTCTCCGCTCTCCACCCTCCACTCTCAGACTCTCACACCCTCACGCTCTCGCTCTCTCCTCACACTCCACACTCTCCCACGCACCACACTCCACACCTTACTCTCTCCACTCTACACTCTGCACGCCCCACACTTCACACTCATCTTCACATTCGTCTTTGCATTCATCTTCACACTCTTCACTCTTCACTCTCCAGCCTCCACACCTTCCACACCCTTTCCACATTTTCCAGTCCACACTTTCCACAATCCCTACAGTCCACGCTGTCCACAGTCTACATTCTCCACAGTCCACACTTTCCACAGTCACTTTCTACAGTCCACGCTTTCCATAGTCCACATTTCCCAGTCCACACTCTCCGCAATCCACACTTCCTACAGTCCACGCTGTCCACAGTCCACATTTTCCACAGTCCACACTTTCCACAGTCACTTTCTACAGTCCACGCTTTCCACAGTCCACATTTTCCAGTCCACACTTTCCACAGTCCACGCTTTCCACAGTCCACATTTTCCAGTCCACACTTTCCACAGTCCACGCTTTCCACAGTCCACACTTTCCACGCCAAACTTGCCATTCCACACTTTCCACCCCACACTTTTCACTCCCGACTTCCCACTTCCCACTCCAGATTCCATTCCACATTCCACATTCCACATTCCACATTCCACATTCCACGCGCTCCACACACCCCGCGCACACCGCACACTCCGCACCACTCCACGCCCTCCACACCCTCCACACTCTACACTCTACACTCCACAATCCACACTCCACATTTCCCACTCCACGTTCCACATTCCACACTTTACACTTCTACACTTCACACTTTACCCTTCGCACACCACACTTCACACTGCACTCCACACTCGAAATGACTTTTGACATCTTCAAGACGACATGTTTTGCAGCACTTCCCAGCGGCAGCGGCGAAGCGATTTAGACCGCCGCACAACACTTCACACCTGAGCGTCACGACTTAAATGACATTTCGCGCCTTCAAAACATAACGTTTTGTAGCAATCCCTGTAGGCAAAGCGAGACGCAATTAGAGCACAACAGCACCGCAACGAGCCGCAGGCAAAGCTCCACCCCCAGACCCCCCTAACAAGAAAACAAGAACCCTTCCCTACGCATTCGGGAACAACCGCAATAAGGATCGAGAACGAACAAAAACAACATGCACCAGTGGACACACCGCAACTGCTACTGTACATGCCCTTGGTCCCCTGCTTCTTCTCATGGGCATGTTGACATGTTTGTGCTATAATGTGGCTGATGTGGCTGATGTTGCTGTGCTGAGAGCTGCAGAGAGCTGAGGTTGAGGACTGGGAACCAACGAGTCCAAAAGCCAAAGATGTTCTTGGAACCGATGGCTACATTGCTCCGGAAGCTTATTTGGGTGCGCCCAGAACAGCTTGAAGCATGAAACGGCGCATGCTTTTCAAACATTTTCAAAAACGCAGGGCCGTGCAGATCGCCAGGAGACTATTCCCCGGCCTCCGATATTTACTCCATTGGAGTAGCCCGGGACTACACAGTTTTGCAAGGAATTGGAAGCCAAACGTGATGAACCTGTCAGAAATCATCTTGCAATGTGTTGCAAAAGGCGCTGCGTGCACAAATCTAAGACATGCTCAGGTCATGTACAAGCTGCTGACTGGTAGATTTCCCAGTCGGGTGGCCTCGGCGGGTTTTATATTTTTTTCTTGGTTATTTTTCTTGAGATACTTGGGGAACATGCAGGAAGATATCTTTGACGACAAGCCTGGTGAGAACTGGGTTGGCAGTCCAGCAATGAAGAGGAGAGGCATATAGTGAGCATGTTGTGGTGGTGTCTCTCACTTGACATTGTCTTGCTGCTTCATTGCGCTTCCTCTTCGTATTGCTACCTGAGGATCCATGAGCGCCTCAAGACGGAAAAGAATCTCAGCCCAAAGTACCAATAGGATGGATCACGCCTCTTTGTAGGTTCTGCTTGGCCCAAGGGTCTGCAAGCGAGTATTCACCTAAAGTATTGTCCAACTATTCAAAGGTCGCGGCCTCCCTGTCAGTCAATATGGACTTATTATCTCTCCAGGCAGCTGAAATCATGAGAAGCTAAGACAAGACCCGTGTCCTTCATTTGGCAACGTAGAAATTGAGTATTTTTCCAAGATGGAAGAAGAGTCCTTTTTCCTCAGTGCCCTTAACAAGGGATTCAACGCACTAAGGATTAACTTCACAAGGCCGCCCTTGGACAGATGTCCAGAAGCAGCGTCTTGGCATGTCTTAGCATAGAGCGCAAAAAGAGATGCAAAGAGATTGGATGCAACATCAAAAATTAGGTCGACGTGCGTTGAAAACTAGTTGAAAAGTGGAACTTTAGTGCCATCCGACGCTCTTGTGATATTCGTGTCTATTTGTGCCAATTTCGTGCTATGCTATATTGCATTGTAGCAAATTCCAGCCAAAAAATAGCATAGCACAGTAGAAAAATTGCATATGGCGGTGGAGAGGGTAGAAAAAATAGCATAGCAGTAGTCCGCCAGCTTTAGCATCCTTATCCCCATCTGCCAGGTGAGGACCTCTAGATTTTTTTAATGAAATTTTAATGAAAGGTGTGACTCCTCCTTCTTCCTTTTTCCTCCTTCTTGCTTCTTCCTCCTTCTTCCTCCTTCCGCCAGCTCGTCGTCACTGTGGGCACCAACGGGCCCGGATCTCATAGCACCCGCACACGGACCTGAACACATGCTAGAATGAATGCCCGAATAGGTGCCAAATAGAATGTCAGGCGCATGTCAGATCATTGTGTCCAGTTGGCATGTGCCTTAAGAGATCGTGAAGTTACATTCTCACTAGCCCAAAAATCATTGTGTCCAGTTGGCATGTGCCCTAAGAGTAGCGTAGAGGTAGAGTAGAGGTAGAGTAGAGGTAGAGTAGAGGTAGAGTAGAGGCAGAAGTGGAAGTAGCGAAGAGTAGAGTAGACAAGGGTAGAGTATAGCAGAGTAGCGTAGAGAAGACGAGAGATGAGTAGAGTAGAGTAGAGCAAAGTAGAGCAGAAGTAGAAGTAGAGCAGGGTAAAGCTGTGTAGAATAGAAAAGGCGAGAGAAGAGTAGAGTAGAGAAGAGAAAGTTGAGTTGGCTCGTGCGCGACGGTCTTAGGCGTCATCGCTTTGCCGTCGAATCCGGCCCGATTTGCGCGTGAAGTGTGACTAAGGATTCCAGGTGGCTTTTTCTCTTCTTTGTTGATGCTGTGCGATTGTGTTTTGCAATCAACCTGTGCAGATAGCAGTGGGCTGGTTGCGGCAACGCTTCTCGAAGGGTACTTGTCTTGCGAATCTGATTGTGTTTTGCAAGTCATCCTGTGCAGATCGCATGGAGCTGCTACATCATGGATGCGATTTGAACTTTAGGATTTGCACGAAACATTGTGATTTTGCGGGTCAAAGAACATTCAGTTGCGCGACGGGTGCGGCGATCCTCGCTTTGAATTTGTCTCGAACTGCGCTCACTGTACCCGAGGTGTTCAGGTGACTTTTTCTCTGTTGTTGTTGACGCTGTGCTATGGTGTTTTGCAATTCAGTCTCTGCGGATCGCAGGGGTATGGCTGCGTCAAGGTTCCTCTCTGCGGCTGCGTGCGTAATACTATTGCCTTTTGCAGCTGAAGGTCATAAATCGTATTATAGTGGCTGCATGAAGGCTGCGAATGGTGCTTTGGCAGCAGATTTTCATGCATTTTGGCGCTGATGATTTTCCTCTGAAATTTCCTTTTAGAAAGTGTTTCAAAATCGTCGTTTTCCGCTTGGGCGTCGAGATCCGGTTTTCGTACTGGGTGTACAAGCTTGCTCTGTGTAAAAGCTTCTTTGTAAAAGCTTCTCTGTGTGAGAGCTTGCTGTGTGTAAAACTGTCTCTGTGTAAAAGCTTCTGTGTGCAAAAGCTTGCTGTGTGTAAAAGCTTCTCTGTGACACAGCTTGCTCTGTGTAAGAGCTTCTCTGTGTAACAGCTTGCTGTGTGTAATAGCTTCTTTGTGTAGAAGCTTCCTCTGTGTAAAGGCTTCTGTGTGTAAATGCTTCTCTGTGTAAAAGCTTCTCTGTGTAAAAGCTTCTGTGTGTAGAAGCTTCTCCGTGTAAAAGCTCCTCTGTGTAAAAGCTTGCTCTGTGTAAATGCCTGCTCTGTATAAAAGCTTCTGTGTGTAAAAACGGGCTGCGTCTAAAAGCTTCTCTATGTAAGAGCTTGCTCTGTGTAAAGGCTTCTGTGTAAGAGTTTTGGTGTTTCTGTGTAAGAGCTCGCTGTGTGTAAAAGCTTCTCTGTGTAAAAGCTTGCTCTGTGCAAAAGCGTCTCTGTCTGTGTGTAGAAGCTTCTCCGTGTAAAAGCTTGCTGTGTGTAAAAGTTCCCTGTGTAAAGCATCTGTGTGAAAAGAGGTGAGAAAAGTTGAAAAGAGTTGAGAAGAGGCGCGCAGAGGTGAGAGTCGTTGAGAAGAGTTGAGAAAAGCGTGGAAGAGGTGAAAAGAGTTGAGCTGAGGCGGGAAGAGATGAAAACTTTGAGAGCGGTTGAAAAGAGTTGTGAGAATTGAGAAGAACTGAGATTGTTGAGAAGAGCTGCGAAGAGCTGAGAAGTGGTGGTCACAGTTGAAAACGGGCGAGACAAGATGAGGACAAATTCACAGAACAGAACTGAGAAGATGTGAGGCTTCACACCACTTCCTATAGGCAAACCTTGTCTTTGGGTCCTATAGTGTCATAGTCCTTAAACCTGTAAACTTCCGCCACCCACCTTGCGTGGGTTCTACTTGTAGTTGTAGTTGTAGTGTAATGCAATGTAGCGTCGTCTAAATACCTAGTGTAGTGTGATGTAAGGTACGTAGTGTAGCTGTAGGGATAGTTGTGGTTGTAGTTGCAGTTGTAGCTGTAGTGTGGTCTAATTGTAGTGTAATTAGGGAAGTGTAGCGTAGTCGTAGTTGCAGTTGTAGTGTAATTACTGTAGTGTAGCGTTGTGTAGCATTAATTGTAGTTGTAGGCATGTAGTTGTAGTTGTAGCGTAGCGTAATTAGTGTAGTGTAGTGTAATGTAGTATAGTGTAGTGTAATTAGTATAGTGTAGTGTATTGCAACGGACGTAGCGACGCTGTAGTTGTAATTGTATTCGTAGCTGCAGTTATAGTTGTAGTTGTAGTTGTAGTTGCAGTGCAGTGCAGTGTAGTGTAGTGTAGTGTAGTGGTAATTGTAGTTATAGCTGTAGTTGTTGTTGTCGCGTCGTGAATGTCCAAAAATGGTCCGAACATGTGGTACTTTTACCATTTTGACTTCGAAACGTGCTTCGCACCACCAGAGCGTGCGCTTTTCCGACATCTGAACTTCAAAGAGCGTCCCAGGCTCCCAGTTTATTTTAACACTTTTGACTTCGAAATGTCCTTCGCCCCAGATCGGCGTGCACTTTTTGAACATATCAACTTCCAAAAGTGCTCCGACCCTGGTGTGTTTTGCAGGTTTTGACTTCGACATGCGCTTCGTGCCACAACGCCGTGCACTTTTCATCATCTCAACGTACAGTTTTACTTCGAACGTGCTTCGCGCCACAATGCTGTGCACTTTTTCAACATCTCAACTGCCAAAAGTGGTCCGAACATGTGGTACTTTTACCATTTTGACTTCGAAACGTGCTTCGCACCACCAGAGCGTGCGCTTTTCCGACATCTGAACTTCAAAGAGCGTCCCAGGCTCCCAGTTTATTTTAACACTTTTGACTTCGAAATGTCCTTCGCCCCAGATCGGCGTGCACTTTTTGAACATATCAACTTCCAAAAGTGCTCCGACCCTGGTGTGTTTTGCAGGTTTTGACTTCGACATGCGCTTCGTGCCACAACGCCGTGCACTTTTCATCATCTCAACGTACAGTTTTACTTCGAACGTGCTTCGCGCCACAATGCTGTGCACTTTTTCAACATCTCAACTGCCAAAAGTGGTCCGAACATGTGGTACTTTTACCATTTTGACTTCGAAACGTGCTTCGCACCACCAGAGCGTGCGCTTTTCCGACATCTGAACTTCAAAGAGCGTCCCAGGCTCCCAGTTTATTTTAACACTTTTGACTTCGAAATGTCCTTCGCCCCAGATCGGCGTGCACTTTTTGAACATATCAACTTCCAAAAGTGCTCCGACCCTGGTGTGTTTTGCAGGTTTTGACTTCGACATGCGCTTCGTGCCACAACGCCGTGCACTTTTCATCATCTCAACGTACAGTTTTACTTCGAACGTGCTTCGCGCCACAATGCTGTGCACTTTTTCAACATCTCAACTGCCAAAAGTGGTCCGAACATGTGGTGCTTTTACCATTTTGGCCTTGACATGTGCTTCGCGCCACAACGGCGTGCGTTTTTTCGACATCTGAACTTCCAAAAGTGCTCCGATACTGAGGTGTTTTTAGCATGTTGACTTCGAAATCCGTTTCACGCCACAACGGCGTGCAATTTTTGGTCTCTCAAGTGGCATTTGGCCATAGAGCCTCCTTTTCGCCCCTTTCTCTTCTCTGACTCTTCCCACCTCTGCTTTTCCATATGTCCATATTGTCGGACGTTGGGCTTCTAAACTACTTTCGATGAAGTAAAGCAATTTTCTCGCCGCTCCGTTGAAACGACAGCTGTTGTGAATTCTGAAAGGCTTGAGACATGCTGAGACGTCAAAACTTTTAAATTTCTAACCTCAAATGGTGTGGGCGGTAGGAAGTCAATGTACCAGACACAAGCAGCAGTGGCAATGGAACAGGAACAGATCAGGTCAGACTTTATCGGAGTTGCAGCAGCAAGAGTTTGTTTTGGCACAAGAAGCAACGCTGTGTCTTCCCATCAGGACCTCATACCAGAACCTCATAGCAGGACATTCAAGAGAATTGCAAAAAAGGTGGTCAAAAAGGATTTTCTATATAGCAAGATCTTCATACAAGAACTTCGTGTGAACATCCCAGAAGAATTTGCATACAAGCACCAGTGCAGAGCATCTGCAAGATCTTGCTGCAAGGACCTCTTGAGGATGATTCCAACAGGATCTCCACAAGTTCTTCTCACAGGGACTTGTACGAGATCATGCAAGGACCCCTTAGAGGATTTCACCAGGATCACCACAAGAGTTTCTCACAAGGAATTGTAAAAGGGACCACGGTCTTGATGCCAGGACCCTCAAAAGAGAGTCCCACAAGATCGTCATAAAAGGAGTTGCTGCGGCTGAAGGGGATCCTGCAAGATCTTGGTACAAGAACTTCTCAAGAGCACCCCAAAAGAGCTTTCATAGAAAGACCTCTAATACATGGCACCTGCAAGATCTTCATGCAAGGACCTCCTAGAGAGGATTTTGCCAGGATCTCCGCAAGGTCTTCTGTCAAGGACTTGTACAGAATCATACAAGGACCTGTTAGAGAGGATCCCCAGGATCTCGACCAGATCTTCTCAGAAGGACCTGTGCAAAATCATGCAGGGACTTCTTGAAACCTTGTGCAGAACCTCAGCAGGATCTGCACAAGATCTTCTCACAAGCACCTCTACAAGATCATGCGCAGACCGCTTAACGGACGGGATTTCATTCACCAAGATCTTCAAAACATCTCCTCACGAGGACCTCTACAAGACCTTGGTCAAGATTTTAATGTATTGCGGATTGCCAAGACTGCACCATGAAACTCGCGCAAGATCGCGACGAGACGATCTGACCCGCACAACGATGAACCGCATGTTCAAGTTCCACACGCACGTGGTACCTATATCATCATGAAGTATTGCAATGGATGCAGTCAATGCATTATTGAAGACATTTAATTGTCTTGGCCGGATCACATCCGATGAAATGAAGAGGTCTCCTTTCATTTGGTTCTTTCCTGAACTTCCTGAACCTCTTCGGCCAGTTGGGCAGGAGATCCATGCTGACGTGGTTTTTGCACAAGGGCACGCTGCTGGACGAGGAGGTGTTGTCACAGTTTATCCTCCCAATGGTGGAAATATTTGCCGCGTTGCATTGTCACTCCCGCGGCGGCTTAGTGGTCATCTCATTTTGATTGGAGCTCGGGCAGATCAATACTTGCTTGACCATCGATTGGCAGGACATTCTTCCGACTGCAGTCCCCACCCGTGATGTGCAAGATGGGCATTCTTTCGCTGCGATGCTTGCAGGGCACCGTACAGATGTGGAAGGTGCAGTGACCTCTGCTCCGCTTCAGGTGGCCAGAGCCAGCCATGAAGATGTCCCAGGTCAAAATGTCTCTTCTGAGCAGCCTGATGAAGAACCGCCAGCAAACGATGATTCTGCAACATTGGCACTTGAGTCAGTCAACATTCCATCCGCCACCGATGCTACCGGCTTCAGGGGCCCCTTTTTAGGCCTTGACCTAACCTGAGCCATTGCAGCTCTTCCGCGCTGTGGCGCTGGCAAAACAGACCTCTGTGGTCTTTGCGGCTTGGCGTGAGGTTGGAGAGGACTTTGGTGATTGGAAGTGTGTTCAGCATCCCCCAGCAAAGAGCCCAATACCTACTGCTGGCTACCACTGCTTCAGATTCCCCTGAGCAGGCTGACTCTGAACCTTTTGCTTTTGCAACTGATGATGATGTCATGGACGGAGTTCAAGTTTACAGCCTTCATCGTTCTGAACGGCACTTCTTTGTCAGATGGACAACATTGTGCTGAATATTGTTCAACATTTGCGAGTTCCTCTTCGAGGTGTCATTGGCGTCCACTACCTGGAAGTTCCCACAGTTGACCAACACGATGCGGAAGAAAGCATCACTTTACAGTATTTTGATGACTTCAATGTTGACACCACAGACAAATTAGTCTTGATAGATGTCGAGATTTAGTATCAGCTGTCTACAAGGACAGTTGAAAGACGAGTGCGCCGTGTGCCAGCTATAACTAGCAGAGTTCGGTTTCTTCATCAACTTCAGATACAAGACTCGTGTGTCACGCAACAGAAGAATACCTGTCAGGTTCTCTGGAACACATGAGGAACGTGAAGTGCGCCATGGTGTTTATGTTCAAGTGATTCTTCCTCCATTGATTGGTGCCGCGTCTGACACTGACTTTGCACTTGAAGTTGCTGACTGGCCTTTTTGCTCTGAAGATGATTTGGCCACGCGAAAGAGATTCCTTGATGCTACAGGGCGCACCTCAGACAACAAGCGTGCGTCCGCTGCACGCGGATCTATAAGTTCAAGCCAGCCTATGTGACTATTGGAGACTGTCATTGATTGCTGCCGTTGGCATATTCATTTTGATGAACAGTTTTCTGATGTGCAGCAGAAGTGTCAACTTGATGGTAGCAACCCACCTTGTATTGCAGGTTCCCCACGACACAGGCATACGCCAGACAGACCCTCGCAGACCTCTTTGCCACAACATTCGATGGCGACTAAGTCTAGAGCGACTTTTTGTGCACGGTGCGTTGTTGGAGAACTCTGACGAGAGCAGCATCGCTTATGTCAAAATTTGGCTGTTAAACATCAACGTCATCCGAATTGTTTTAGTCTTAGTCCTCGCGCAGTTCGTTTGAGCAATGAGCCAGAGACATGGGAGGCCACAATTGTGGAAGCCTGGCAGGATCTTCTAGACCTGGCAAAGAGCCCAGTACCTACTGCTGGCTACCACCGCTACATTGGTAGCGGAGCAGTGATCGCTCCAGGCGACCTACTCCAGCTGGGTGGATTGCTGAGGGATAGCAAACTACTTGCTGTTCTTCTTTGCCAAGATCCCAGGTCTAGCATTTGCTTGCGCTACTTCCCTTGTGCACTTGCTTGGACTTCAAGCCCTACTGGCTGATTCGGAAGATTGAAAACCACGAGCTCTTCCGGCTGATCAGGAAGTATTTGCCCAAGATTGCTAGCACCTTTTGTGTTTTCACTTTTTCCTTGAGGACTTCTTTTGCCAGATCTCTGAAGAGACCTTTTACCAGTTTTCCCTGAAGCAATGGCATCGGACGGTAAAGATGTGATTCCTAGCTGGGATGGTTCTGCCCGTACATGGAGAAGGTATACTAGGGAGGTTGCATGGTTCTTTCGTGCTACACCATCACACAAACGAAGAGATGTAGCTACAAAACTGTTGAGCAGGTTGACAGGTTCTGCACGTCTTTTGGCTATGTCATGGACGGATATGGCTTTGGATGATTATGATGGCACTCGAACCTTGCTCCGAAGGTTGTCAGCCAGCCCTCTGGTCAGGCAGTCGCTGCCCAACGCCTCAGCGATATGCTCCCAGTACTTTGACTTCAAGAGGCGCCCTGGCGAACCGATGACGGCATTTCTAGTCCGTGAATCTCTAGGCTATGCTGAATTTGTTGAATCCCTAGTTCGTCTTGCAGAAGAGAAGAAGGGTTCTAGCTCTGAGACTTCTGATTTTGGTTTACCACCGAAACCTCATGATGATGCTGGTTGGGAATATGATGAATGGTCACATGATGATGGGGGACTTGGTTGGTTTTGGCAACATGATCAAGATGATGTGGGGGTTCAAACTTCTCCTGCATCAGCTGCTGCTGGACCAGCTGGGGACAGCGGCTCGCCTGCGTATCAACGAGTTCCTCGTGACTCACCACCAAGTCGGCGATCTGCTGGCGTCCAACCATCTTTCTTTGCTGAGGACAAAACTGAGATCAACGAGCTGACTTTTGCTGACTCCTTTGTTTTAGGCGTTTTGCGGGGTTTTAGAATTCTTCAAGCTGCTGGTCTCACGCCAGATGAGCGACGGGTGATTTTGTCATCTACACGAGGATCACTGGAATTTGAGGAGACCACTAAAGCACTGCAGACCTTATGGGACGAACAATTTGCTGGCCAACGCCATCAGACTCACCAGGCTCATTTTCAGGAGTCTTTTGCTGCAGAACGAGATGAACATGAAGATCAGTTTTGGGAAGATGCCAACTATGCTGAGGACTGGTCATACTATGACTCGTCATGGGACTGGCCAGAAACTTATGTTGCAGAGCAAATTCCTGAAGAACCACAGGAGAATCCTGAAGATGATGCGGCCATCCGAGAGGCTCAGCAGGCAGAGAAGGTGGCCGAAAGCCTGGCAGTTGAGGCCCAGCGTACTTGGAGTGAGGCACAGCGTGCCACCGCAGCCTTGAGAAAGGACAGAGGCTTTCGTCAACACTCCATGTCTGGCAACAGTCAGAAGGGCAAGGGCTTCTGGATTTGTAATGGTCCGCACCTCTCACGTGATTGTCCTGACCGGCAACATGCACACTATACCAAGGGCAAGTCCAAGGGCAAATTTGGCTATGCTGCAGAGTTTTCACCTTGGGACTACCAGGCCTATGATGACTTCTACATGGGCCGCTCCAAGGGCAAGAAGGGCAAGTCTCACCACTGGCTAGAGTCTCAAGCATGGCTCAAGGGCAAGGGTCCTCGACATGCTGGCTCTGGAAAGGGTCCTTTGAGACCACCAGTCAATGCGTATCACTCTGAGCTTTTTGTTGGCGGCCTGGAGATGCTTCGTATTCCCAATGAGCTGCAAGCTTCCACAAAGGAGAGTTTGCCTAGCACCCATGGCCTTCTTGATTGCGGAGCGACAGCCTCAGCTGGACCGCAAATTGCGGTAGAAAAGCTGATTTCTGCTGTCCTGTCCAAAGACAGCCAAGCGCAGATTGACATCCGCCAAGGCGATCGTCCATATTTTCGCTTTGGGAATGGACGGTGGGGCAGGGCACTCTACAAGGTGGAGATTAACTCCTGTGTCAGTGGTCAGACCCGAAAGTTTGGTTTATATGCTCTTCCCAATCCTGCTGAACTTTATAGCCCTGACTTTGACATGAACTCCCTGGTTGCCATTCTCATTGGCATGGATCATTTGTCTAGTCCATCTTCGGCAATGACCATCGATTTCATGACTGGTTTGGTGTTAGATTCACATGAGATTGAACCCATGGTTTACCAGTTGGCCTCCAATCGAAAGGGACACTTCGTTTTGGACATTGTTATACATTGTTTATTTTCTCACGAGGGGTCACGCCAATTTTTCTGGTCATCCACGGGTACATGTCATGGAAGCTGCCACTACACAACATGAGGAGAACCATTTCATACAGTTCATGCCTTTGGAGTTTGATGCACATATACAAGAAGCTCATGATTCACAACACATATATAGAAGTGAGAAGCTGCAGAAGTCACATCGAAATTTGTTGAAGCTGCATGGGAACACCTTGAGATTTTGTGCCTCCCAGCAGTCTTCTGCTCATATGATCGCTTCGACAGTGACACCAAATTCGAGTCCACCAGATCTACCCTGCAATGGCGCAGCGGAAGTCCTTGACCAAATCACAGGTGGAGAAGCTGACCGAGATTCAGCAATCAACGCCAGAGAAAGCCTCGCCACCACCCTTCGACGAGGCAAGGAAAGTGGGTCCCGATCTTCGCGACCCCAGAATGCGTCGTCATCAGTGGCCGTGCTACGGCAACCATCAAGCAGCGAAACCACACCATGATCTCCAACTGAGTCTCCGCGTCCACTTTCTTCTGCATAGCCAGGCAAAGTTCCGCAGATGGTGGGACTCCGTCCAGCATAGTCTCCAGCTCCTGCAACATACGGATCACTTGGTGCTCGTTCTCCACTTTTGTGGCTTGAGCCGTCGCTCCCCGACGGGGCGTGTACTCCAACCTGAGATTGCATACACGGCACTGTATCCACTGTCCAAAGGGATTGGCCTTAGCACCTTTCAAGCTTGAAGGCCGAACCTTCCAGCACACAGTCCAAGGCCAAGGCGAAGGCCAAGGCCTATCCGGTGTCAACCTCAATTGCGACACCTACGCACATGGTGGAGGAGCAGGAGGAGATGGCCAACTTGGCACACGACCTCCACAACTTCCTGACCGCCGAGGAGATGGATCACGTGCGAACTTTGGTGGCAAATCGTCAGGCGGCGATCAACATGGAGTTCGGCGTGATGAACCCCGAGGAGGAGCAAGTGGTGGAGGAGGCCGGGTGGGTCGAGCCTTGAGTTCATCTTCCTTGCGGAGCTCTACGACGTCCAAGAGGGTGAGGTTCAACGATGGCGATGGCTCTACATCCTCTACCCGGCCGATGGCGTCGAAGAGATCTATGACATCACCACCAACTATAAAATCGACGTCTTCCTCTTCGACTTCGACATCATCATCGAGCTCTACGCCCTTGACGAGATCTATGGCTGCCAAGGTTCTGCTGATGGCTACAACCTTGCTGACCTCTATGGCCTCTGCGGCATCTGATCTTCTTCTTGGCGGCAATGATGGCGTCTGGGAGATTGCTTGCGCACCACACTCCTAGCTGACAGAAGCATGCCTTCAACAAGGTCTACGACCACGACGCATCAATCTGCATCAAGGCTTTGATGTGTACAAGGACAAGACATGGGCTCATCTTCGAGAACTTCGGCGTCAACACAAACCCAAGCGACTTTGGATTTCCTTGCGATGCGCAATGTGGTGTCAGTGGACGTACATCAACTACAGCACCCCGGAGAAGAAGATTGCATATCGTCGCAAGGAGATTAGAATGCTTTGGAACGCCGTGCACTTCATCGAGAACACCCTGAAGGAGGACCCCGACATCGACATCTACTGGGAGCGGCCGTGGCCTTGCATTGGCTGGGGCCAAGGTCCTCTTCTTCGTCTTCAACAAGTTCTACATGCTCATGGTCGTGAATGGCGGCCATGTCGAATTGATGGCTGCAATTATGGTCTTCGGGCCAACGATGGCGCTGGTGATTTTTTGAGGAAGCAGTGGATGGTTTGCACTACAAGCTCAACCTTTCACCAGAAGTTCAAGACCAAGACCTGTCCTGGCGGTCATCGACATAGATATGTAGCTGGAGTGGAGACTGCCAAGAGTTCATACTACCCTTGGCGCATGGTGAAGGCGATTGCCAATGCATGGCGACAAGAACTCCTATCAGATCGCAATCAACGACTTCTTTTTGCCGTTGATGATCAACCATCTATGGTCTCCATCGAGGAGGAGCTGAACGTCCTTGAAGAGGGCGATGGCAATCTCTTTCCAGTTCAACAACTTCTTGGCTCTGCTGAGCCTAACCCTGATGAGCTGGAGCAGTGGAAGACAAGAGTCTCCCACTTTCACAAGGCGGCGGGACATCCCACCAACCGAAACTTAGCGAGGGTCATCAAAGATTCAGGAGCACCTGATTGGAAAGTCCGTGTAGCCCTGGAGCACTCATGTGAGACCTGCAAGTCCTTGAAGGCTGGCAGTCTTTCCTCAGGTCAAGTACCACCAGCGGCAACTCATGCTCTGCCGAAGGCGTGGCAAGTGATAGGCCTAGATGCTTTTGAGTGGACAGTTCCTGGCCTAAAGAAGAAGGCCAGATTTCTCCTGATCATTGACCTCGCTACCAAGCTGAGATCAGCGGTTTTGATCCGCACATACACCACCATGCATGGGGAGTCCAGTGAGGAGGTGATTCAAGCTTTGGTTTCTGGTTGGTTAGCTCACTATCCCAAACCCGAGATCATCATTCCTGACAGTGCCTCAAGTTTTGCATCTGCTCATTTTCATGAATTTGTGCTGGCCCAAGGCTTCATTTTCCTCCGGAGAAGGAACCGTGGAGTCACGGCATTGTGGAAGCGGCTGGTAAAGATGTGAAGCATGTGGCAACGGCGATTCAGACTGAGTCGTTGGACAACACTCCAGAAATGACTCTTGCTTTGGCATGTTCAGCTTTGAACTCAACAGAATACACTGCAGGTTTTTCAGCGCATCAATGGGCTTTTGGTTCTCATTATTCTATTTCTGATGAAGATGTGCGACTTTGGCAGGCTGGTGGATCCTTCCAAAGAGTTCGTCAATGTGGCCAAGGCCCGACAAGATGCTGAAGAAATAGCCCGACAGTCTCGTGCCAAGCGAGTTCTGAGCAAGTTGTCCAACACCACGGTGAGACAACCCCTGAGGAAATTCTCCATTACTGACCTCGTCATGGTTTGGCGACGTGTCCAGACTGGGGAACACCACCAAGGCAACAGAGGTGGCCTCAAGAAGTCCAGTCGTCCACATTGGGCTGGTCTTGGCAGAGTTGTCTTTGCTGAAGCTATACCACACCAAGAAGGTGATGACACCAGAGAGCACATCATTTGGGTTTTGATGGGTCGAAAGCTCTGGCGATGCTCAGCGCATTCAGTACGGCCTGTCAATGAGATCGAGCGTCTGCAACATGAGCTCTTTGAGAAGAATGACCCAACACAATGGCGCACTTTGGCAGACATGCTAGCTCAGAAAGAGTTCATTGACGTCACGGCCGAGATCCCATCACCTGATGAGCTCGAGATACCAGATTTGCCAACGGCACCTGATGCAACTACGTATGCTCCAATCCGACGAGCCAGAGGCAAACAAACACTGGCTGATGCGGATTATCGACAAGTTCATCGCAGCTCACCACTTGGACTTCGCCAAGACGTACCTGCACCACATCATTTTGTACCTCCTGCAACTGGCTCGGCATCTCAGCCAAGTGTGATCGCTCCGGTGACCTCTTTGGCGACTTCGCAGCCTAGTGCGATGCCAAGTGTGATCGTTCCGGCGACCTCTTCGGCGACCTCGCAGCCTAGCGCGATTGCCCCTGCAACTTCTGCAGGCGCCAGCTTGCCGGTGAATGACTATGGTGCTGGTGGAGAGACTGCGGAAATGGTTGACGATTCACCACCTTTGACTGCATCAGAGGCCAAGAAGCAGAAGCTGGAGTTCTTGACTTCAAATGGGTTGAAACCTTGGAACAAGAAGCACCACATGAGATCACTGAGCATGATGTTCTCAGCTGTTTACAATCCTATGACGGGGAGTGTCTATGCTTCGAGCTGGACTTGGACTTTAGCTCCCACCGTCAGCAGAAGAACTTTTAGCGTGATCCTGTGCTATACCTTGTTCGCAAGCTCAACTCCTCAGAAGTTTCCTTGAAGAACTTGACTCCGGCTGAACGTGAACTTTTTGCCAGAGCAAAAGGGAAAGAGGTCAACTCCTTCCTCAAGAATGCGGCAGTTCGCAAGTGCATCGATGACAAGGAGGTGTCCGAAGCATTTGGTTCTGGCAGAATCTTGAAGGCCAGGTGGGTTCTCACCTGGAAGAATGTGGCCCCAGATGAGAGACATGACGCGCTCAAGGGCCTGTCTGAGAATAAGAACACGGAGGTGAACGCGGATGCCACCAAGAAGGCCAAGGCGCGCATAGTTCTTCTGGGCTTTCAACATCCATCTCTTCTTGATCGCAATTTCAAAACCAGCGCGCCCCAGTGATTTCTTCCTTAGGTAAGAATTTGATCTATACAGCTTCTACTTTACATCAATGGGAACTGCATGGTTTGGACTTAGCCACAGCATTTCTCCAAACGATGCCCACGGAAGCTGATGACAAGTTGTATACCACTGGTGTGCCAGAGCTTTGTGAAGCACTTCAAGCACCTCCAGACTCTGTTTTGAGAATTCTCCGAAACATCTATGGTTCTACAACTGCACCTCGCGGTCTATGGTTGAGTCTCAACAAGACCTTGTGCGAGTTGGGAGGAGTGCCCACTTTAGGCGAGAGATGTTTGTGGTGTTGGTATTCAAAACATGAACGAGACCCATCTGGACATGGACCACGTCTCATCGGTTTGATGGGAGGACACGTGGATGATTTTCATAGGTGTGGTGATCAAGAAAGCAGTGAGTGGCAAGAAGTATGCCGTCACATTGACTCGGCATATCAGTGGGGCACCATCAAGAAGGGTTCATATAGACATGCTGGCAGTGATGTTCACACAGTTTTTCACAAAGATGGCAAGTTTAGCATTCGTGTCGAACAGTTTTCTTACGTTGAAACCATTGCCGATGTGGATATTGAACCTGAACGTCTTCGTTCTAACGGTCCTCTATCTCCTAAAGAAGTTGGCGCTTGCCGAACAGCTCTAGGTTCACTGCAGTGGCTTGCTGTTCAAACTCAACCCTTACTGACTGCCAGGTGCAATCTCTTGCTCACCGAGATCACCATGGGCGGCACTCTCGAGCACGCGCGCGAGATTCAGGCCATGATAGGGGAGGTGAGAAATAGTGCCACTGTTTTGGAGTTTTTTCCTTTGCCAGATGTCAAGAAGTGGGATGACATGGTTTTCATCAGCATGGGTGACCAGGCACATGCCAATAGGAACCAAGGAGGTAGTACAGGTGGTATGATCCACCTCATCTCTGGTCCTTTGTCACTGGATGGTCGCGTCAGCAAGATGATGCTCATCGCTTGGCGCACCTGGAAGTTGAAGCGACGTGCGATTGGATCCAACGATGCAGAGGTCCAGTCCATCTTGGAAGCTGAGGATGTCAACTTCCGAGCTCGTCTTCTTTGGTCTGAAATTCATGGTGCTCGCTTAGGCAACCCTGGAGAGTACAGAGAAGATTTGGTCGATGTGACCGAGCGCTTGAGTCTTTTGGTGCGAGGTGTCCTATGCACCGACTCGAGAGGTGGATTCGACGCGGTGGAAGTGAACGAGAGCCCTTTGCTTGGTTTGAGCAATCTTCGTGCAGCACTGCACGCCTTCCAATTGAGGGACAACCTCAAACGCTGCGGCAGCGAATTGAGATGGCTGGCCTCAGACTATGATCTTGCTGATGCTCTTACGAAGAAGCGACCTGAGTGCAGGCTAGGTTTGCAGCGTTTTCTCCAAACATGGGAATGGGCCATTTTATTTGATCCCACCTTCACAGCAGCCAAACGTAACAAACGTGTTGGCAAATCAGCCTTGGATCGATTGCAGTAGGTAATTTTTGTGTGGATGAAGAGTTGTTGACTGATGAAGAATATTTACCGGTGCAACATTGGCACTTGAGTCAGTCAACATTCCATCCGCCACCGATGCTACCGGCTTCAGGGGCCCCTTTTTAGGCCTTTCATTTGGTTCTTTCCTGAACTTCCTGAACCTCTTCGGCCAGTTGGGCAGGAGATCCATGCTGACGTGGTTTTTGCACAAGGGCACGCTGCTGGACGAGGAGGTGTTGTCACAGTTTATCCTCCCAATGGTGGAAATATTTGCCGCGTTGCATTGTCACTCCCGCGGCGGCTTAGTGGTCATCTCATTTTGATTGGAGCTCGGGCAGATCAATACTTGCTTGACCATCGATTGGCAGGACATTCTTCCGACTGCAGTCCCCACCCGTGATGTGCAAGATGGGCATTCTTTCGCTGCGATGCTTGCAGGGCACCGTACAGATGTGGAAGGTGCAGTGACCTCTGCTCCGCTTCAGGTGGCCAGAGCCAGCCATGAAGATGTCCCAGGTCAAAATGTCTCTTCTGAGCAGCCTGATGAAGAACCGCCAGCAAACGATGATTCTGCAACATTGGCACTTGAGTCAGTCAACATTCCATCCGCCACCGATGCTACCGGCTTCAGGGGCCCCTTTTTAGGCCTTTCATTTGGTTCTTTCCTGAACTTCCTGAACCTCTTCGGCCAGTTGGGCAGGAGATCCATGCTGACGTGGTTTTTGCACAAGGGCACGCTGCTGGACGAGGAGGTGTTGTCACAGTTTATCCTCCCAATGGTGGAAATATTTGCCGCGTTGCATTGTCACTCCCGCGGCGGCTTAGTGGTCATCTCATTTTGATTGGAGCTCGGGCAGATCAATACTTGCTTGACCATCGATTGGCAGGACATTCTTCCGACTGCAGTCCCCACCCGTGATGTGCAAGATGGGCATTCTTTCGCTGCGATGCTTGCAGGGCACCGTACAGATGTGGAAGGTGCAGTGACCTCTGCTCCGCTTCAGGTGGCCAGAGCCAGCCATGAAGATGTCCCAGGTCAAAATGTCTCTTCTGAGCAGCCTGATGAAGAACCGCCAGCAAACGATGATTCTGCAACATTGGCACTTGAGTCAGTCAACATTCCATCCGCCACCGATGCTACCGGCTTCAGGGGCCCCTTTTTAGGCCTTGACCTAACCTGAGCCATTGGAGCTCTTCCGCGCTGTGGCGCTGGCAAAACAGACCTCTGTGGTCTTTGCGGCTTGGCGTGAGGTTGGAGAGGACTTTGGTGATTGGAAGTGTGTTCAGCATCCCCCAGCAAAGAGCCCAATACCTACTGCTGGCTACCACTGCTTCAGATTCCCCTGAGCAGGCTGACTCTGAACCTTTTGCTTTTGCAACTGATGATGATGTCATGGACGGAGTTCAAGTTTACAGCCTTCATCGTTCTGAACGGCACTTCTTTGTCAGATGGACAGCATTGTGCTGAATATTGTTCAACATTTGCGAGTTCCTCTTCGAGGTGTCATTGGCGTCCACTACCTGGAAGTTCCCACAGTTGACCAACACGATGCGGAAGAAAGCATCACTTTATATACAGTATTTTGATGACTTCAATGTTGACACCACGGACAAATTAGTCTTGATAGATGTCGAGATTTAGTATCAGCTGTCTACAAGGACAGTTGAAAGACGAGTGCGCCGTATGCCAGCTATAACTAGCAGAGTTCGGTTTCTTCATCAACTTCAGATACAAGACTCGTGTGTCACGCAACAGAAGAATACCTGTCAGGTTCTCTGGAACACATGAGGAACGTGAAGTGCGCCATGGTGTTTATGTTCAAGTGATTCTTCCTCCATTGATTGGTGCCGCGTCTGACACTGACTTTGCACTTGAAGTTGCTGACTGGCCTGTTTGCTCTGAAGATGATTTGGCCACGCGAAAGAGATTCCTTGATGCTACAGGGCGCACCTCAGACAACAAGCGTGCGTCCGCTGCACGCGGATCTATAAGTTCAAGCCAGCCTATGTGACTATTGGAGACTGTCATTGATTGCTGCCGTTGGCATATTCATTTTGATGAACAGTTTTCTGATGTGCAGCAGAAGTGTCAACTTGATGGTAGCAACCCACCTTGTATTGCAGGTTCCCCACGACACAGGCATACGCCAGACAGACCCTCGCAGACCTCTTTGCCACAACATTCGATGGCGACTAAGTCTAGAGCGACTTTTTGTGCACGGTGCGTTGTTGGAGAACTCTGACGAGAGCAGCATCGCGTATGTCAAAATTTGGCTGTTAAACATCAACGTCATCCGAATTGTTTTAGTCTTAGTCCTCGCGCAGTTCGTTTGAGCAATGAGCCAGAGACATGGGAGGCCACAATTGTGGAAGCCTGGCAGGATCTTCTAGACCGTGCACAGACGTGTGAGGCCCATCTTATTTTGGAGCAAGCATTGTCACCTCTGCGGCAGTGGTGTTGTCAGTATTTCGCCAACGTGGGCAGCAAGTCTCTCTTCAACAGTTTGCCAAGTCTGTGCCAAGCATCCTGTCATGGTATGCTGCTTTGAGCAACGCCGAAATGCATGAACATGGGTGTTCTCCGAACGTGATTCACGTGTGACTGAAGATAGCCGATCACTTTGTGTCTTTTAATGCTCAAGATCAAATGCCCGAATCATCCATCACTTCGCATTTGGTTGCCATTGCCATTGGTTTCCTTGCCAAGTGGGTCATCAGTTCTAGCCCCCCTGCTGTTGAGAGTCCTGCCTGCATTCTCACCTGTGGCAGCGTGAGCTGCCCGGCCCACAGCTGCTCGACTGGCCACATTGAGATTGGCAATTTTTCTCTGTTGGTGGTGGCTGGGCTGATTGCTATCAGTTTTGTTTTGTCTTGGTGGGTGAGCCGATTTGGTACTGTCCCCAAAGACACCAACCCTACTCCAAAACCAGCTCTATAGTTGATGGCCGGCGCGCCCTTGGGCAATCCCTTGGGTGGCGTCCTGAAACAAGGGGATAGGTTGTTGGCTTTCTACGAAACTGACGTGGTATGGCATGCTCGCCTGCTCCTAGCCCTGGTCGACCAGAACCTTTGGGTCATACTAACGCCCGACGGCGACATCTACGCCGAGGAGGTTTCAGATGGGAACATGGACGGTCGGCATGGAGGGTGTGGCCTATGGGTTCACCAGTCCCCTTCGGTGTCGATCCAGCTTTGATCCACGATTTCCATCCTCCCCCGGCCGATGCCGTGCTGCAGCAGCTGTTCCAAGAGGGTTAGTTGCCATCATGCTCATCAGGAGAGACTGCGCCTGGGGATCAACAATGCGGCTCCAGCACCTCATGGGGCTGGAGGAGGAGTCATGGGAGTTGGTGGACCAGTTGTCCCGGTCGGAGGAGGTGGCGGTGGACCTGCCGTCCCAAACCTGGCTGGAGGCAGCGGCCCTGCGATGGCAGCAGGTGGTCACGCAGCCCTCGCAGCTGCAATCAATGTGGAAGGAGCAGATCCAGCAGCCCATGCCGACGATGCCCGTACGTTGGCCATTTCAAGGGATGTCGATGGACTGAGGTTCAAAGAATTCCGTGTTGCGGTCCAGGAGTCAAAGCCGACAGAGTTCAGCGACTGGCCGATCTCCGGGCCAAGGACAGTGAAGTATGTCCTCAGTCAGATGCTCGACCATGGTGGCTCAGCGATGGGGCATCACCAGGCTTGGAGGGTGGCTTGCAAGCTTCAACCTACGGATGCACCAGCCATGGAACACGAGGCTTGGTCGAAGGTTCTGCAGACTTTGATGACCTACGATCAGGTCGATGTGACCAACTTGGCAGGTGGAGAGATGATAGTCAGGGCCCTTCAGCGAATCGAGGAGAAGCACAAATTCAAACTGTCAGCGGTGGACGATGCAGGAGAGGGTGCCCTCTTCATGGGCTCGAGCAGTGGATCCCGTGTTGGATCAATCATCTGCCCGAAACTGACGGAGTGGATTGGCTCCGAGATGCAAAAGGAGGCTCTGGTCGCAAAAGAGCGCAGAAAGGCAAGGGAGGAAAGGGCATTGGCAAGGAAGGGGGACAAGGATGGAGCGGCGTCCAAGTGAAGACAACAACGAGAACTTCTTGTACCAGATCAAGTTGCTCTTTGACTTGGCCGCTGGTGTTGATCATCTTTTTCAATTGCATTTTCCAGGTGGCGGGTGTGGAAGTTGCTGGTCCTGACCTTCTTGGAGGAGATCGCCAACGTAACATCTTCCCCTTGCCGCCGATCTCTGATGATTTTCCGTCAGAGCCCCATTCTTTGGGATGGAGTTCGATGGTGAATCAGGGGATCAACGCACTCAATGTTCTTGCTGGGTGCACTAATTCACCTAATTCCAAAAAGAAACCCACTCGCGTTCAGCGTAGGGCCCTCCAGCACATCTCTGATGCCTTCAAGGATGTTTCTGTTGTTCACGAATGTGACCCTGGTCGTTCTTCGTTGGATGATTTGTGCTCCTCATCACGGCTGTATCAAGTTGACAGAAGTGATGTTGTGTCGTATGCCAGAGAGCTTGTCTCTTGGCCCAAGGTTGAAACATCTCCTATCCCTTTGGAGCGGTGTCTTCCGGTGGCTGACATTGAATGGCTCGCGACTTGGCGGCAGCACATGCTCAAGCCAGAGGGCAGCTGTGATAACCCAAATAGCCCCAAACGGCCCTACATGGATCCCATTTTGAAACACAAACAAAACGACTATGAAAATTTCATACGTGAACTCCGTCAGAGACACATGATTAAGTTCAAGCTTGATACTTCTGATGCTGGTGATTTGGGGATGTTTTTTGTGCGGAAGAAGAATGGATCACAGCGACTCATCTTTGACACGCGGATCCTCAACAACAAATTTTTGGACCCTCCTTCAACTGACCTTCCATCAGCTGACGCTTTCACTCGTGTTGAAATGCCTGAGAACCGGCCATTTTACATTGGGTCGGGGGATTTGGCCAATGCATTTTACACACTCAGTGTTCCAGACGATCTTGGGCGCATGTTCGCTCTGCCTGCCGTCAGGGCAGATCGGATTGGCATTGACGAGGTCGATGGGAATACACTGAGGCCAGGAACTATGGTCTGCCCTTATCTTATTGTATTACCTATGGGTTGGTCTTGGGCTTTACATTTGTGTCAGAGCGTCATGATGCATGCAATTTCACAGTCAGGTTTTTGCAGTCAACAGATTATCAGTGACAAGGGGGCCCCAGTCAGAATCAGCAATTTAGATGACATGGCTTGTGGTGGTTATGTTGACAACTTTGTAATCATCGGCAATGACCCTGAAGCCGTGAACGCAGGCCTGGCGAGAATCAGTGATAGGCTGCGATCGCTAGGGTTGACGGTCCATGAAGAGGAACCAGCTTCGCTGCATGCCACGTTTGTTGGCCTGGATTTTAATGGGTCAAGTGGTGTTGTCAGTCTTAAACCTCAAAGGATCCTTAACCTACAGAAGGCCATTCGTGAGCTGCTTCTGCGAAACTTTGCGAGCGGTGATTTGCTCCAGCTCATTTTGGGCCACATCACATGGGCATTGATGTGTCGGCGAGAAGGGCTGTCTATTCTGAAATCTTGCTATGCTTTTGTTCATCAAAACCAATCGAAAGCTTGCCGGCTTTGGCCCTCAGTGCGGTTTGAGCTGGACCTGATTGCATCCCTCTTACCTCTGTTTCGAACCAAGTTGAATGTTGGATGGTCTGATGATATTTGTGCTTCTGATTCATCCCCCTTTGGCTATGGGATTTGTCACAGAAAAGGTGAGCGGGAAGTTATCCAGGCTGTTGGTTCTCAGAGTGAGAGATGGCGATTCAGATTTGAGGACGCCGTTGATGCCCGGCGCCATGCTGCAAAAACTTGTGGGTTCAAGGAGCTCAGCAAATCACAGTGTAATGGTGGCCATGCAGAAGTTTGCAAAGATGAACATGTCAATCACATTTTTGATGAAGGTTTCAATAACAGTATTTTCGACAAAGTCCCTCATGCGTTGTTGAATCCCAATGACTGGTCAGTAGTTTGGTCTCATCCATGGAAACATCAAGACAACATTTTACATACAGAAGCGTTGGCTTTGGTTTGGTCCATTGAGCATGCACTTAGGGCGAATCGGAATTTTGGCAAACGTATTCTTTTTCTGGCTGATAATCTTCCGTTGACCTTGAGCGTTTGCAAAGGTAGAGCCAAGTCATCGTTTCTCACCCGTCCTCTCAGAAAAAATTGTGCCCTGGCGTTGGCGACTGGTTCAAGAATTCATGTCAGGTGGATCCCCTCGGAATGGAATGTGGCGGACCAACCATCGCGAGGGCTCAATCAGTGGTCCTCACGAGGATTGAAAAGCTGGTTCTCGGATGATTGTTCCTCGGGATCGCGGTTTGAGCGGGCGAGGCGGAAGTTTGGCTCGCCGCCCCGTTTTGAAGGGCACACTGACAAAGAGCCAGGAGCGGGCCAGGGAGAGGACCTTGAGGAGGCGGGAAGTGGTGAGACAGGATGCAATAGTTCCCCCTGGCATGACATACCTGGAGTCCCGAAGTGTGAGAACACCAACGATTCTGGACTACACAAAGAGGCTTCAGGAGTTTCAGGGTTGGATGAACATGCATCAGATCAACATAGCATCACCCCCGGACCTCGACTCTGCAGCAATGGAGTTCCTCGAGGACCTGTTCGAGGCCAATCAGGGTGTCAACGACGGGGTGAGGGTCATCGCAGCGATCAAGTTTTTCTGGCCCCATTTAGCAAAGGAAATCCCCCGGACCAGCCGGGCACTGAAAGGTTGGAACTTGGCAGCTCCGCCTCAACAGCGGATGCCAGTGCCAATCGAGGTGCTGTCGGCCATCATGGGCGTTTTTCTGCAGCGGGGGAGCCGGGAGTCAGCTCTGAGACTTTTCATCCAGTTTGTGACATACATGAGGCCTGTGGAATGCAGTCAGTTGTTGGTGAAGCAATTAGTGAGACCACAGGGGAGCGTGAATCAGTCCTTCAACTTTTGGGCGATCCTTCTCCATCCCATGGAAGATCTCACCCCCGGAAAGACAGGGATTTTCGACGGGTCCGTTGCTCTGGATTCCGATCTTTGGGTCAACGTTTTTCTGGAGAGGTTGGTTCATGGGAAGGATCCACTGCAGCCCCTATGGTCAATTCCCCACGGAACTTTCAGGGATCAATTCAACAAGATCATCAGTCAGCTTCAATTAGATCCACTGGGTCTAACCTTGTATGCTCTGCGGCACGGAGGAGACCCATTTTGGAAGTGAAGCAGTGCGGCAGGTGGTCGTCGGACAGTTCCCTAAAAAGGTACGTCAAAGAGGCCCGGCTTCAAGCAGAGCTCTCCAAGGTGCCCAGGTCAATCAAGGAGTTCGGCCAGTTAGTGCTGCAGAATCTGCCTGTTTTCATGGAAAATCCATCCCTAGTCCCAAAGAAAGGGAATGGAATCATCATGTGACCAAGCGCATGTGGAAGAGAGCGGTTAAACCCTCTCGCGGTCCGAAATCACTGACCGGTGCACAGCTTTTGCGTCGGATTTTCAAGAACATGTCACGTGCGTTTAGGCCTCATTTCTATGGTGTTTTCCTTGACATTTTTTCTGGGGATGGATCCGTTGGTAGGTACCTGTCGCGTCTTGGTTACCCTGTTATTTCTATTGACATTTGTGATGATTCCCGTTTTGACATTTTGAATCATGATGTTGCTGCTGTTATCTTTGGGTGGATCAAGAGCGGTAGTGTACTAGGAATCTGGCTCGCCACGCCACGCACTAGCTGGAGCAGAGCTCGACATGGGCCAGCAAATTCTAGTTGTGGCCCAATCCGCACCAACCAACACATTTATGGGATTCCTGGTTTGTCCCCTAAAGATGTCAACAAGGTACGGGTTGGGAACCAAACAATGCGTTTTACAGCCAATGTGATCCGAATTGCTTGTCATCACCATGTGCCTACTTTTCTCGAGAGTTCTTGTAATTCTATGCTCTGGTTGGCTCCCCCTTTGTTGTCGCTGTGTGGTCGTGATTGTTCTAGGAGCCTCATTTGTGATTTTTGTCAGTATGGTACTCGGTGGCGGAAGCGAACTCGGATTCAAGGTTGGTTTGTGCAACCTTCGGCTGAACTCACCCACACGTGCAGCGGTCGTCACGGGATCTGTTGTGCGTCTGGTAAATATCACATCATTCTTAAAGGCCAAGATCCTGTGAGTCGTCAGCTTTGGACGCATCTTGCTCAGCCATATCCTTTTAAATTTGCTCAGGCTGCTGCCAGAGCTTTGATCACCAGTTTCGAGCAGATGCATAATTTCCAGCTGTCGAAGCGGTTTGGTTTGTGATTTTTCTTTTGTTGCTTGTGATGTTGTTTCGTGTTTTCTCTAACGGCCGCTGGCCAGCTTCCGGTGATGGCACCAAGATATGGAACTGAGGCGACGGATCTGCACAGATCCTTCCACAAGCTGTTTTGGTGCTTGTGCGTTTTCCAGCTGCGCTGCGCAGCCCGCACCGTCGCCGATCCCAGAAGAAAGGTGCCCGCTGGATGTCTGGTGAGGAACAGACGTGATGAGCTTGATTTGCTTCCTTTTTGTTTCAGTTCATGTTGGCCTTATTCTTTTGGACTTCATGATTGTGAGGTTATTGCCCCTGGAACCAGTCTTGAAGTGCGTGTTCCATACCTTCAAGTGCAACGACCTGGGGTGCTCATAGTATTTGATGCACGGGATCATATTGCTGTCGCATTGCTGTCGCATGGCTGTCAGAACCACGGATCACCACCTGGTTTGTCAGTCATCATTTACCTTTTCCACGGTGCTTCTGTCCAGAACCAGTCCGTTGTTTGACGATGTGACCACATGGAAAGATACTATTCGTAGGGCGTGGAGGGATCAACTCATCAATGGTGCGCCGATCACTTTTCATATGGTTGATCCTGCTCCACCACACCTCAAGCATGGCACCACAGCGCATGTTATTGTGATGCAATTCCCGCATGACCATTATGTGACTTCTCTTGTGTGCATCTATGATCAACAACGGCACCCTGGTATTGGTCCACTTTTGCGAAGTGCAATCATCACCGTGGAGCACATCCATCGTGAGCACGTTGTCCAGCAAGCTGGATATGGTGAGTTATGTTTGCTTCCTGGTGCCCCGCCTATGTCACACATGGTGGGGAACTGCTCCAATTATCTCAGGCCAGCCCATCATGGGACGCATTGTTCTACAGGCATCACATCGCAGAGCGCACCAACAGGCGAATTGGTGGCTCACGATCACCGGCCACGGGTGTGTCCTCGAGTCATCAATTTGGAGCAGCTCATTGAGCTTCAAACAATTGTGTCAATTGATTTCCGACCAGTGATTGCTCTGTGGCACCAGTTGTTTGAAGCGGATCTCGGACCAGTGCTCTTCGAAGATGGTGTAGTCAAATGGCATCCAGCCACACGAGCAGCTTTTGCCTTTACCTCTTGGTATATGAAATTCCAACTGGTATCTCTGCACTGACGGTTCGTCGGCTGTGATCAAAGATGTTCGTCGTTCTGCAGCAGCTGTCATTCTTGTCCATGCGCATCATTGTATTTTCTTGGCGGCTTTCGATGATTCGACGCAGGTTCAGCCTCAGCCATGCATGCTCCGCGCGCTGAGTTGTCAGGATTTTTTTTGCAGCAGTTTTTTGGGCTTGTCAGCTGTGCAATCAAAGGTATGAATTTCTTCTGGAGGTTTGCTTTCATGTGGACTGCATGTTTGCAGGCATGGCGGCGCAGGGCCTTGGGAAAGCAGATGCACGTGTAGCAATGCAGTATGATTTGAGGTCACTTCTGCATTGGAGCATGTTTGAAATGTTTCAGATGGGTCATCCGGCCATTCCGTGTGTGCATGATGTTTACATGAAGATCAATCTGTTTCAGCGTTTTTGTCAAAAACCAGATGCTTGTGCCCATCCTATGATGCGCAAAGCACAGCATCAGCAGCAATCAATGGCTGCAACCTTCTTCGAGTTTGTGTTGCGATCTGCCACCGCAGATGTTTTGACGCTTTACCAAAACAAAGCTGAGACTGGAGGAGGCATCGCAGCCAGATTAGAATCTTTACTACGTGCATTTGATGAGGAAAATATTCACATCATTGGAGCACAGGAAACAAGATCCGAAATGAGGGGCCAAGGATTTCACATATTCTGTCAGTACAATTTTGGATTTGCACCACCTGGAGGTCTCCCCGACACATGATAGTCCGACTTTGTCGTGGTGAGCTGTGCTTGCTGATCGTTGCCCATGCCCCAGCGTTGTCCTATGCAGCAGCCACCTCGTTTTGGACCCAGTTGTCAAATGACATTCCGTTTGCCAATCGTTCTTGGCCATTGATAGCCTTCGTTGATGCCAGTGCTAGGATTGGATCCATTGTTTCTTTGTCAGTTGGGGCGCATAGAGCAGAAGAGGAAAATCTTGCAGGCGAGTGTTTTCATACATGGCTGCATGCCCGATCGTTGTTCTTGCCACAAACTGATGGAGCTGCACACAGGTGACCACGTGACATGGACGCACAGTTCAGGCAAGGAAGTGGGTCTTGATTACTTCGCCGTGGATCACCCTCTGCGTATTTCAGGGGCCAAGACTCAGATTGCAACATATACAATTGTTGAGAAGGACCACGGCCTGGTGCTTTCGAAGAGTTGCAGAATTGGAGCCCGAAGGTCCGATGCCACCAGCCCCAGCATCATTGATATTCAGCTTGGACTTGAGGAGCCACGTAGATCTTGGATTGATGTACACACGCATGCAGCACACATCCAGGCATGGATGAAGCAGAGAGCGCCTCAAGCGAAAGAGCTACTTGCAAGATGAGACCTTGCGCCTGATTCGCTGCAAACGCTTTCGCTGGAATCGTCTTCGAAGCTTGAAGCGCATGGTTCGACAAAGCTGCCTTCGTGAACTCTTTGCTGCATGGCGCTTTGGTCACTCTTTCAATGAGACTGCAATTACGACCTTGGCTTTGTCTATAGCTGATCGAGCTGCAGCTCTTCAGCGGTGGCAATATGATCGGCTTTGTCTTCAGGTTGCTGTGGCGGTTAAAAAACGATGACACAGCACTCTATTGTGAGCTAGCCAATCGCCAAAGCGATGTTGCAGCTGATGAAGGGCTGACAGGCCTATGGAAACAAATTCGGTACCTACTGCCAAAAACATTGCCAAAGGACGTTCCAACATTCTTTTTACAGGCCCACATGTTAATGAGCTCAACGCGCATTGCTGTTCCCTGGAGGCTGGACATGAGGTTGATTATTGCGACTTACTTTGAAGATGCGCCCCCCGCCAACAACAAATTGATGAGTTACCTCTTTCTTTGCGCCTTGCTGGTCTAAGCAGCTTTGCAAGTTGGCCAAGCGTGGTAAAGCTCCTGGCCTTGATGGCCTTCAAGCTGAACATTTGCTACAACACATGGTTCATCATTCCGAAGTCTTCCATGCTTTGATGTTCAAAATCTGGGTCTTGAACCATTCAATGTAAGGCGGATTTATCTGTACTGTAGCCAAAAAGCATGGAGTCGTGACTGCATTAGAGATGCGAGGGGTAATGTTGCTTGATGCCTTGGGGAAACTCTAACCTGCGCTTGTTCGGAGACATCTTCACCCGTGGGCCGCAAACAATAGAATTCCCACGCAGTTCGGTGGCTTCACAGGGAAGCGGACCATTTTCGCCTCTCTGCTCTTGTGTAGCTATTCCAGATTTGTTGAAGCGAAGAAGCTTTCCATGGCCAGCTGTGACAGCATGCTTTTGTGACGACAGCAGACTTTCCGCTTCCATGGCGGCGAATTCTCGAATCTGAAGGGCTTGACGTTGATCAACTACTGCCCAAGTGTTTGAGGCGGTCAATCCCGCTTTGGCCAGGCTCGTACGACTGTCTAGGCACAGGCTTGTTTTCAAAACACGAGGGTCTTGGCCAAGCTTCCCTTGCCGACCTGGCCCACAATATCCTGATGCCGTCCTTGCTTAAGGTGTTACAAGGTGAAATGCATCACGACCCACAGCTTCCTGAATTGCCAGGCTCCCATTGTCGCCTGCGTCGACGACCTTGCTCTGCCACTGCCATGTGTTGAAGCCCATGGACTTGGTGCGATGCCCCAGCAAGCCATGCATCGAGTTGTCAAAAGCTTTGGACTTCGCCTGGTTATGGTGCTCCACAGTTGCGAAGGGAACGCTACATTGAAGGTCACGGGCTCCTACCTGTTGCACGTCATGACCCCTTGCGCACTCAGAGCTGTGTGCCCATGACCTTCAGTTACGATGGTGTGAGATCGTCGATGCCTATCCTGGTGATGACGGTGATGGTGATGGTGATGGTGATGGTGGTGATGATGATGATGATGATGATCCACCTCATCATCAGGCAATGTGACGTGGGCCTTTGTGCTGTGGGGCCGGGGCGAACTCTATGACGAGCTTGAGCGAATGGAGGACATTGAC